AGACGAATATTAATTCCTCTAAGACAAGCAGTTAGAAGCCAACATAAAGTTGCAATCATCGGAAAACAGTTTATTGCTACAGCTAAAAAGGAAGGTATAGTAGTATCACATTTCAAACTCAATTCCACCTGAGCTGTTAACTTTCAGTCATAGAATGTCTTTTGAAAATATCCGTGGAAACTGAGAAAAGTAACAACTCAGGAGATATTCACACGACCATATATCACTATGCCAGATAAAATAATGTTGTTCAAAGATTTCATAAAACGTAGATTTACTTCATTTGAATAAGCATTAAGAATAGCTCCATTCCTGAAAAGAAATCACGAAATTATTGCTACGCGAAAAAATTTCTAGTGAGTGTGAAAAAATTTCTAGTGAGTGTGAAAAAATTTCTAGTGAGTGCGAAAAAATGTTCGCCACTGAAATTATGCCGTTGTATAATTCTCTACTGTTACTAACCTATGTCTTCTAGTTAAACGGAATCCGTTTTGAAACGGCCATTTTTATTTGCATCTCTAATTTAAAAGGCTTCAACTTTTAATTGGAGTGGTAGAAAAATAAGAAGAACTACTGGCATGATAATTATTAAAACAACAACCTTGCTATTAACACAAGTCAATGATGGATTAATAAAAATAGGAAGCACAATTAATGCAACAACAACAACTACTACTTTAATGATTACTGGCATCGTCATCCGGTTACTCAATAAATGTTTGAATCATTACCATCGGCAATCTAAAGTATTGCGTATAAAATTCTTTGTCATTTTCAAAGATTGCATCGCTACACGAGCCTATTCAATACCATAAAATATGGACAATTTGCGTAGGGTATGCCAGGAAGAACTTTCAAAGAATTAGTTATTTGTGGATTTACGTGACAAATAGGTTGAACACAAGAAGAGCCGTATTAGCTCCTCCCGCATTGAGCCAATCTCTCCTGATGTTGTGTACACTAGTGGGACCAGAGTTTTTCCTGAGCAACGATCGGACTTGTTCAGTAGCGATCGGTGGGGAAGCTCATCTAGCCAAGTTCATGAAAATCGACATCACTTGAACAGAAGTGTAGCATTGAATCAGGGAGATTATTATACTCCAGCATTTCCTCTGAATCGACCATCATACAGGTAGGCCATGATTGAAAATCTATCTTTCTTCAATGTAGTGTTCATATACAGCTCTATCAGAGCCGAAAGATCGCGAAAGGCTGCGTGTATTTGGACCTGTGGAATATGCATAATATTGCTTCTTGTGGTCAGCATCGTTATTCCTCTTGTGCTTAGCATCATGGGTGTTTCAGCTGGAGGATCTACTGGTAGGTTTTTTTGAATTACTGCAGTATCATATTGACAATAGTATAGGCAAATATTCACATTCACTGTTAAGCTGCGTCATGAAACCTGATAGCTCTATTGTATAATGTATTTACAGTAAAACCCTACGCAAGAACCGAAGCAAACGAGAAGCTTTGAAATTGATTCAGAAGGAGTAGTATTTTATTTCTTTGAATTATTATGCATGTTTGAGAACTGAAATAAATGCCATTGAAAAAACATTCGAAAATCTAAAAACATTTTAGTCCAATAATTAAAAGAAGTTAAAGTGTGAGTTTGAATGAGAAGTTATTTTCAGTATTTTATACTTTATACCGAAAAAATAAAGTCTGAACTGTGATGCGCGATGACATACATATTGCTTCATCTTTTCAATATATTCATAACGCGTGTTCCGAAAACTATGTCACAACTCGTGGAGAGTTTCTGAAAATTATCACGTGGTTATTATGTGTCTTTAGCAACAAATGCATGGAAATATCGATTCATTTCTACAGAGTACTTTTTATTGTATGCAGTGATTTTTAATTATACACCCAAATTTTGGCTAAGATATTGACCTTGTACAATTAGTTATTTCTACTCTAACAGACTTTCAATTATTTTAATTTTATTAATGTCTTGTGATTGACAAGACCTCGATGATGTTCATTTGCTATCCGTTTTCTAGAATTGTAAATATCTGAGTGAAATGTAGCAGACCAGTTTTTGTTATGACCGTGCAATCAAAAAAAGACTGCTATCAGTTCTACAAATGCACTTTTCAAAATATTATTACTCTGATGTTTAACATTCAGAGCAGGTTGTACACCGTCATACCGATTTCTTCGATAAACTCATTTTCTAACGAAACACTGATGAATAGTAGGATACAACTTTGGATTCGTTAAATAGATCGACTCATTCTTGCTTCGATCTGATTACACGAGGGTCAATGATTTAGCCGGAATTTTAATTATTTCAATGAAGAAAAGCATGATGCTGTCATGAATAAGTATAGTTTTTCTCACACATTCAAGTGCGATATAAGATGTTCATTGCAACATATTTGGAAAGAATTATTCGAATCTGTTATGCAACGTATTTTTCAATTTCGTTTTATTATTTTAATTCTCAAAACTCATAATGATCCTCTGTCGATCATAGATCGGGATTGAGAGTAATCTGAATATATCACTCATACTCTGCTTGTAACAAAATAGAACTTTTTTCAGAGAATTAAACGACTATCAAATGAAACATGATCCGACGTAACTCGGTGCTCTTAAGGCTCATTATATGTTAATACGATCGCCAATATGTTATGTAAGGTAGCGATTTCATTTAAAAAGTAAGATAAAACATTCTTATTCATTTTTTGATACATATATTGATAGGCGGAAGAATAAAATCATATTAGAGTTACCTATCAGAGCTACACATTATATGTAATAGTCCTAAACAGCTTGCATCGCAGTTTGTTTCGCAAAACATCATGCTTAGAGAATGCTTTCAAAAACGACGTTAACTTATTAATAAATATTATCGAAGCTACATGATAAGTAAGCCAAACGGTTTAGAGGTTTTGATGCAATATTTTGGCGATCAAAAGGACCTTCATCCTTTTTTGATACTTTTTCTCTGGATATAAAGACTTTAGCCGATAAATACTTGTAAAAAACTAGATCACAGGCATTTATACACCCAAATTGGGTCTTAACGAAAATTACTCATAATAGGGTAAGTTTTCAATAGTTAAACATTCAGCCCAAAATATTTTATTTTGCATGTCAGAAAAATACGAATATTAGGATACTTGAGTGAGTGATGAGAACTGTACCTACTCTAGAAGATTTATTTATCGATAGAATAGAAATGTTTCTGCAGAGAACAACATTGAAAAATATATTGCGCAATCCTACAATGTATACGATAGTTCAAGTCATTTTTTGAAAAATTGTATGTATCATGTTTTTTATAAGTATTTCCAACACCGTTTTCAAAAAAGCATTCGATGTTGTATATCACATGCCAATAGCAAATCAATCTAGAACGTTGCAGATTTATTCTTTCACTGCAGAGCTGGGCAACTACGGACTTTCTTGAGTACGAGTACTAGTACTCCGAGTACTAGTACCAATACTAATAATTGTATCAGTAAGACGAGAAGTTTCCAAACTAGTTTGTAAAAAAATGTACACTTAATCAGGGGTGTCGCTAACAACCAAATACTGGAGGATGAGGGGGGGGGGCACGTAACTAATAAAATCCTACTTTCCAAAAATTTTGGAGGGGAGTAACCAATGTTGCCAAATCTTCCGGATTTTAAAAGTTTGAGCTTTTTCTGATTTTTTCAATTCCTTCCTGGATTTTTTTGTAAATGTTTTGCATCTTTGGAGGATTTTTCGGATTCTTTTCTCAATTTCTCGAATTTTGAGATTTAAATTCCGGATTTTCGAGTTTAACATCTGACAACATTGGGAGTAACTTAGTAGATCGTACTTGGTGTAGTATCAGTTTCATTTTGTGAAACACAATGCAAGACAATTTTTCGAATACTGGAGAGGGGCTCATATCTCCGTCCTCCCGCTGTCGTGGTGCCCCTGGGATTAATGCTCTGCAACGACTAAATATATTTATATGAAACTAAGAAAGAACATAGATTGGCATATGGCGATTGTTACACGATTATATGTTGTACAAAATCTTCAAACATTTGCGCTGATCGACAAGAGGAGATATTAGTGGTGTGCTTGCTTGTTCAACCAACTTTGTTGAAAAACACAAAGAGATATTCGTGTCATAAAAGATGCTTTATCTCAGATTCGGAAAATAAAATTTCTAAGCACGAGTACTTCGAGTATTTTTCCCACCTCTGTTTCACTGTATCCCGTATTCTTATAGTGAGCCCTCATATATTAGCACTTATAATTTTTCTTTGCTAACCCTAATCGTATTTTCGTTGAGAATTTCTAGGCAATCTTCAAGATTTCTTAGATGACTTTTGAAAACAGACATCTTGGTATCATGCTTACACAACTCAGTTAAAAAGTTGTATATTTTCTTGAAAAGCCAAACTATTGCGATGACAGACTTTGAGGATCTGCAACAAAAGCAAATACATGCTCCAACATTCAAAGTTCACCAAATCTTTCTTCAAGCATTTCAAAATTTCTATCGAAATCAGAAAATCCGGTATTCTTATTTCCTTTGATATCAATTTTAACTAACGATGGTGAAAAGTGAAAAAAAAAAACAGGCCTACGGCAAATCGATTTTTAATCAACACAGACAAACAGTGAAAATCTCAGGCGATTTTAACACAAAGCATCAATACAAAATCCGAACCTCGCAAAATAAAGGAACAGTGGTTGAGAGATCGCTAAATACTCAGCTATTTTAGATTTAATAATGATCGAGCCAATTAATTAACGTTCGTGAAATAAATGGCCATCATTATTATGATAAAACTAAACGAAGCTAACGTAATTTGATTCCTTTTATTTGCATCAAATTTTAGAGAAACTAAACTTACAGTTCAGATTATTTACTCTTGAGCTAAAATCATCGACTAGTTCAACAGAATAAGTCATACTGAGACGAGTTAGTTCTAAGATTAAATTAGCGTTTTTATGCTTAATTCTGTCACACATTCAGTCTTTTACGTAACAAATCGAGACAGATGCACACATTTTTTTCAGTGAGTACGACAACAACCGTAAAAAGTGGTATCAATACTGCAACCATTACCACAACAGCATTGCCATTGACATCAACAACAACCACTACCACAGCAGCATTGCCATTGACATCAACATCAACCACTACCACAACAGCATTGCCATTGGCATCAACAACAACCACAACAACATCCTCAACAAAAACGACGACAACGACAACAACGACAACAACGACAACAACGACGACGACAACAACATCAACATCAACATCAACAACAACGACGACGACGACGAAAACAACAACAATGTCAACGGTGACAACATCAACGACAACATCAACAACGACAAGTAAGTGTTGCTGACTTCAATTTATTTTGAGTATCTATTTCTATGAAGCAGCACACAACTTGACTTTTCTTGTGATATACCGTTCAGTGAGGACCATGTATAATCGAGATTGTAATTCTAGGACATATGATGTATCCTAGAACAACACGAGACAGTCAATATCACACTGCATCGTATCGCGTTTTGCGTTTACTATCAGGTGCTATTCTGTCACATTCTGTTGGGCAATCTTTGTTTCTTTTCCCCTTGGTTCATTATATTAAAGAGTTCAACATTTTTTCAAAACTGCGATGAGTCAGGCTTGAACGATTCGACTTTGACGACCTAAATTTTTGTCTAATTTAAAACGATTGTTCATTAATACTAAAACCACAGAGGTCACTAATTAGATAGAATGTTTCCAAGTGTAGCTATTGATATTAGATTACAACAAATCTTTGATCTAGTAACCAGGATTATCCTAATAAAGTCGGTTTATTTGAAGATTTTATGCTGTTTTTTTTCTATAAAGAATGGTAGGGTCTTTGTTGAAGCGTTCAGCGGATAAATTTAAAAAAATATTTCTGATGTAAATTAGGTTTTGATACTGAATGAATCTGTAAAACTAAATCTGAGCGGAACGATAACATGTTACGATAAGAGTAAAACATGTTAGCGCATCTCACTCTGATATATGAACAGTAAACTCATCAGTACAAGAGTTCATACGACTTTTAGACGTAATCATATTACGCCAAGTATTTTCTTCGTCGATCTTTCCAGACAAATCTTTATATATTAAAGTAGCACTATTTACTGCTAAAAGTTCTAGCGTTTTTTCATTGTTCTGTAAACGATCATGCAGCGAAAATTCAATTGATTAGCAAAGATTCAAATGATTGTATTCAATATCAAAGCTTCTATTCTTTGTATTATATTAAAGCATCAGGCAAAAAATTGACTAGCACGCTCCTATTGGGGCTAAAATGAGGAACTCAAATGTGCTCTTTAGATTTACAGAGGTAATGCAACATAGGTAGAATGAAAAACCTTTCTCATATTTTTGTCTTAAATGCAAGTACTGTAATGATTTTGGGGTAAATTAGTTTTAATATCTCAAATAGTGTAACACACTGATTGCTTTACTTTTCAATGGAAATGATTGTTTTTTTCAGTAGAATGTCTGATAAGAGGGAAAACAAAGCTAAAACTTAGTGGAACTCTAATTGTTAGAGTCGGTAATGCCTGTAACTCGAAGGGACATTGAATGAATCACAAAACATTGCTTCTAAACTTGAGTTGGCAATTTAGAAAACATAGATGGACTCAACAAATCTTCGAAAATCTGCACTCAAGCAAATTAACTCTGCACGAGAAGTTTGTTGATGTTTCAAATACTTGTTGGAATATCGTTGTAGATAATGATGCAGTTATGTTCAGTTGTTCTCAGTGACCAAATAACCGTCTACACATTATTTGGCTATGAAGAATATGGTACATATTCATTTGTATTATCAAGGATACATTTTTTCAGGTTTCACTAGAGTTTTATTTGCTTTTGCTGAATTCAGCGTAATACGCTGCCAAGCTGAATGAACGTTATATCGAATCGGATAGTATCTTACACGGATAAAAATATGTGGAGAAGGATAAACCCCTTTTCCTCGGAAAACCCCATAAGGGTATATCTTCCGTTGCAAATTCATATACCCATGTACTAGTTTCTGTTTTGATAAACTCTTTTCCCGTAGTTGAGCCGAATCAACCCTGAAATTGAGCTATTATTATTGCAATGATAAACCCTGCGTTTCAGGGCTGATTCGGCTCAACTACGGGAAAAGAGTTTATCAAAACAGAAACTAGTACATGGGTATATGAATTTGCAACGGAAGATATACCCTTATGGGGTTTTCCGAGGAAAATGGTTTATGAAAGGGTTGATCATGCCTATAAACGGATTTGACGTTCATAAACGAATATTGAGGGTTTATCCTTCTTCACATATTTTTATCAGTGTATAAGATCTTATCAGTCAACAAAATTCGGCAGAATTCCGGATTGGGGAACTATTCATAGTCCCAATAGTTAGATCATATGTAATCGACTAAATGCTACTCAGTGCTTACTACTAATACTAGAAGTCAGTAAGAGTCCTGCTATAGGTTTCGTTCGATCTAATAATAGAATATGACTAGATTCTAACACTAGAGATTCTATTGACGGAATGATTATTCTAGATAATTCTGAATAGGTATAACTAAAATTAATCCGCACACACTCCTTTAAATTTGTAACGATATTACGAATCGAATTCGAGATATAAGGCTTGAAAAGAAATGAAGAAATATTTAAAATAACAAAAAAAATTATACTCATCATCTCGAAATTTACCTGTGTTTGTGAAAATCATTCTCTTTCCTATTTCATCCTTTGAATTGATGATACAGCACTTTTTCTCTTTCGAGCGGCATGTAGACACGATCACTACGATTAAGATAGGTATAACTATTCATGGAGCCAACATCTATTGTTTTGATAACTAAGAAAATATAAAAGTAAAATAAATCGGTATTAGAAAATTATAGTTGTGATACATTAAAACATAATAGATCTGGAATACTATATTGAATACTCAATAATGAGATGTTAAATAATCAAGATTATTGAAGGGCCAATTTTTATGTATATAAGATGAGTGATTATTTACCTTAGCTAATAGCTGTAAACTTGTAAAATAGGTTTTGGTTTGCATCGTAGTATTCTCGATATGAGCTTAGCCACAATGTATGATTAATGCCATTCTTTGTCTACCGAACAATATAAATGATGAAATATTTTGCAAAAATAATAATAATAATAAAACCTTGTAGGTAGCCATTCTATAAAGATACTTTCAAATCCCTATGAGAAACTATTTAAACATTTTTTTAATATACTACTTCACACTCTCATTGATGAAGCAAAAGAATTTGAACTTAGTACTAGACACCATAGCTAAAAACTATGGTCCTATGTATCATATTAATCACGTAAGATGTTCGTAGCAGACAGACAGACACCCTATCCTTTCAGTATGATGAAACTACGTGCAATAGGATAATATCGTTTTCTATGGGTTATATTTTATTCAATTTAAAGATAATTAATAGCTTACCGTTGTGCAGAAGAGTATTCTATGTAAAAAGGCATTTTTTCATTCATAATGCACACATGCAAATCACTTTCTGTCCAGAAGACTAAATTTCGCTTAAATATTATCTAACTGAATCTTAACATCTTTGAAGCCAATTTAATTGATGTTTAGAATAAAAAATACATTTGCAAAGCTGAAAAACACCTCATTCGAGTTATTACTAACTGCATAGTTATTACACCTCAATTTCGTTTTTGACATTATTTATCACTGGAAATTTTCGTAGTGCAGAATTATTATACGATTTAGTCAAGATTTAAGCAAAAAGTTTTTCCAAAGAATCGTAAAAAGTTTTATCGATTACAAATTTTGAGCATCTCATGCGCATGTAAAACCTGCCATTATTCATGTCCCATCACTATAAAATCAAGTAAAATCAGATCTTATTATCCGTTTGAATGACTATATTAGTCGAAAAATGTTCATCGTGATTTATGGAACTTTTTAAATGATTGGATTCGTAGTTACTAACCAATTTCATGACAGAAGTCTGACCATTGACGAGAACATGATAATCGTTCGTCTTTTGATGAATTTGATGGCATTTCGAAAGTTATTCGAAGATTTTCAAAATCATCTAAAGATACTATACATATTGTTTCTGGGAATTGACAAGCTGATTTGATCTTTCTGATGCTTTAGCTGAATTCTCAGCAGTGTTATGAAATTGTTTTCATGACTAGTGTTGGATTTTGTAATTTTATCCATTGGTATAAATCACACAAAAACTACTTGAGTAAAAAATCTTTTTTTAATTATTTTAATTAGTACGTTTCCACTTTCTTTCCACACACAGCCACAGCTACATTTACACACGTCAGTTTTGAATCTTTCTAGCCTACATATGTCACGTAAATTCGACATCAATGACATATGCAGCTGGTACACTTCCATATTCAGTCAACGTCGGCGATTTCAATAGTGATAACCGATTAGATATCGTTGTTGTAAACTCTGGCAATCCCAACATGGGTATCTTTTTTGGGTATGGCAATGGAAATTTCCCAGCACAAGTTACATATTCAGTTAGTCCTCTTATTTCTCCCTACTCTGTTGCTGTTGGTGACTTCAACAATGATAACCGACTAGACGTAGCTCTCAGCGATCGGAGTGGTAGCAGCTTTGGTGTCTTACTTGGGAATGGGAATGAAACTTTCCGAGCAATTATAACATATTCAACCGGCTCTGTATCTTACGCAATCGCTGTTGGTGATTTCAACAACGATAGTAAACTAGATATTGTTATTGCCAATTTTGCCACTAACAACATCGGTATATTTCTTGGCAATGGTAATGGAACTTTTGGAGCACAAAAAACATTTTCAACTAGCTCATCTCCTTACTCAATCGCTGTTGGTGATTTCAATAATGATAGTCGATTAGATATTGCTGTCGCTAATTCTGCCAGTACTAATATGGGAATTTTTCTTGGTGGTGGAAATGGAAATTTTACAGCACAAACAACCTTCGCCACAGGCTCAAGTCCGTATTCTCTTGCAGTTGGTGATTTCAACAGTGACAATCGATTAGATGTTGTTGTCGTCAATTTTGCCAATGCTAATATTGGCATTTTTCTCTCACAGGGAAATGGAAGTTTCGCAGCACAAAGAACATTCGCCACAGGCTCAAGTCCGTATTCTGTTGCAGTTGGTGATTTCAATAACGACAATCGATTAGATGTCGTTGTTGCTAATGCAGGCAGTGCTACTGTGAGCATTCTTCTTGGCTACGGTAACGGAAGTTTCGCAACGCAAATGGCATTTGCGAGTGGCTTGTATCCGACCTCAGTCGTCGTCGGTGATTTCAATAACGACACTCAAGCGGATATTGCAGATGGGAATAGTAGTGGTGCAAGTGTTACTGTTTTTCTGCAGACCTGTTAATGAATTTGATCAGACAGACAAATAAGCCTATGCACCAAGTTTAATTCGTAGAAATAACCTCTTATACTTCAGTCACTGGCTTAAAGAATTAATCAAGGATGAATTTTAGTAGATTCGACCCACGTAATTTGTTTTTTCGGAAAATCTTATTTTAATCAGTCATTTTTTAACAATAAACTAATCATCAAAATCAAATTTATACAGAAACTGCTTTAAGGTGAAAACATACAGCAACACTTTAGTTTGTGTTTTGACTTGAAAAGATGCAGGAAAATTGCGTGATAAGAATAATTAAAATGTGCATATGTAATTCAAAGCAATGAGATGAACTAACTCTAGTAACAAATAAAGATTGGTGTTGCTAAGAAGAAAAGATCTATTAACAAATCGCTGGACATCATCTGCCAAGTTTGTATTCAGTTCAAGGGGGGAACAGCGTATTTTAAGTTGAACAGTACGCCAAAATACAAAAGTAGTTAAAAGTAATTAGAAGTAGCTTAAAGTGCTGTAAAGCAACGTAACGTGAACGATAATACTTTGAAATTACGTAAAAATATTTTAAACTTCATGCAACTATTTTTACTGTCTTTACAAATATAGAATTGCATGGAATATTATTCAATCATGAAGGTGACATTTGATCAGTTCTTGATTGGAATATTCTTTCCAACATGTACCATACTTTACGTAGAGTACACCCCCATGAAATGAAAGTTTCAGTGTTTGTACACTGTAAATAAAAAGAGTAGAATAATAAACCCTTGCCCTTTCTACAAATCATGCTAAACCCTTGAAGGGTTTATGACAACGCCATAAACCCTTTAAGGGTTTATGAAACGAAGGGTATATGAAAAAAAGATGATACAAGAAAAAAAGGGTTTATTAATCTGAGATTTAGGGAGAAGGGTATATGATTTTATCTCCAAGGGTATTTTAATATGCGGTTTCGAGAGAAGGATTTATTACTTTCGTAGTAAGGGTATTTTATTCTACGGTCTCGAGAAAAGGGTTTATTACTTTCTTAAAAGGGTATTTTATTCTACGATGAGGGATTTATTGTTCTACTTCATCATCAAAGGGGTTTTTTATTCTTCGTTCAAAGGATTACACTTTTTCAACTCATATATATATACCATGAAAATTTCTCACAGGGCACTTCAAGCAATTTAATATAATAAACATATTAATCCAATCATTTTCTCACAATGCTGCCATTCATGCATCGATGCACTTTTCATTTCGTACCTGTTTTGTAAAACATATCGGTATGATAAAGAGACGCTAATTTCTCTAATAAATTTTGAATCATTTCGAGCTAAACTTCAATCCGCACATTGTTTAAAAATCAAAATCAGATGGCTTCACGTGAGCAACTTCATACAAAAACTTTGAGTTAAATCAATCTGAAAGAAATTATGGTGATTGAGGATTTATTCCAAACTCGCTGTGGTATTCAGAAAAAAGTTTGTTTTTACATTCATCCAAAAGAACAAATTAAAGTAGGCATTTTGCTTCAATATATTTATATTCTTCCTTTACTTGGTTGAAAATAAGCTCAAAATAATGTAAGTAATAACATTTCAAAAATAATTTCAGGTTGTCTTTAATTTAGTTCAATCACCACAGCTAATGGAAAATAAGGGTGATTTACTGATATATTTATATCTTTCCTTTTATTTACTTCCATTAGAAATTCAAAATGAAACTGGAAGTATTAAAACTTTCTCTGTGATTATTTCCTTCCCTTTATTTCGGTCCATTGATGCAATATATTCAAAGTGAATATATCGTTTCACATATGTCTTTATAAATCTTATATTTTTCTACCTTTACTTCAATATCAAACAAATAGTGCAAGTATACAAATATTTTATAAATAGCTATTTCTTTTTTTTCCATTTAGATTCGTCGAAACTATACATGGGAAGAGCTATGAAGATCGATTTCTGACATATGGGACAACCCAGTCAGACAAGCGCCTCAAAAAAAACGCGTTGCAGCGAATACATATTTTGACGCTTTCATGTTGTAAGACGTTAAAACATCTTAAATCTCTTAGAAACGCCGTATTTATGATTTCATGCATTTTGCATCTACATCTTTTAATAGAATTTCTTACGACCCACACCCTGTACACCTCTCCAGACAAATATGTGCTATTTTTAACACATGTACTTATAAAGATCTAAAAAATTGATCAACAATTTTATAAAAGTATGAGAAATATATAAGTTTTAGATTTCTAGAAAAATCAGAAATATGTTAGAAAATTTTTGAAAAAATGGAGCAAAACGTTTTTAAATCCTTTTAAAAATCTTTTTGAGGAAATATATTTCAAAACAAATCTTTCCTAATTTATTTGAATATTTAAAAAAATTATTTTCATTTTCAAAGAAATAATTTTTTAAATGCAAAATATTTTTTTGTATCTTTTTATGACAATTAAAAATGTAATAACAATTGTTCCGCTTAACTTTATATCATCTTCAGTTTCATATAAAGTTTCGTTTGATTTAAGTAGCATTTCTTACTTCATATTGATATCATACAACTGGCCGAATGGATAACATCTTGGACTATCAATCAATACATCTCATGATCGAACCTAGGACAACGCAGTAAGTTCCAAAATTTTAATCGGATGGAT